TTGTTTAATTTGAATCCTGCGACTGGACCACTGGACCAAATTCTTTTATTATATTCATTACTTTTGGGAGAGAATTTTACAAAGTCATCTGCAAATGCTTTTAATTTGTGTTCATTTCTTTTTAATTTTTATTCCTACTACTTCTCTAGTCTTATCTTTCTTGTCAGGACTTCCACTACCAGAACAAACAACAATGGTGACAAGGGGCATCCTTGTCTAGTTCCTTTTTGTATACTACATTTATCCGTTATCACCCGATTTACAATTATTTTTGCATTTTGATCTGAGTGAACAGCTTGCATTCCCCTATTAAAATTTACTCCAAATCCCATCTCCTCCATCACCCTCTTCATGAAACTCCAAGAAACATCATCAAATGCTTTTTCCGCATCTCTAAACATTAATGCTGCTTTTTTCTCACTTCCAGGTACTCTATAATATTTAATACATTTCTAATATTATCTTTGATTTCTCTGCCTGGAAGGAATTCAGCTTGGTCACGACAAATAAATTCTTTTAGGATTTTTTTCATTCTATTTGCCAAAACAAATGCAAATAGTTTATAATCATTATTAAGTATTGAGATCAGCCTATAATTTTTAACTAATGTCACATTCAAATCTTGTTTTGGTATCAAAGTTATATAAGCCTCTTTCCATGTTTCTGGAACTTCCCCTGTTTTCAAAATCTCATTCTTTGTGTCATATCATCCAGTATTTCTTCATTCAGTCTCCACCGAAAGGTGCACTGAGTGTCTTTCTGTATTTCCATAGTTATAGAATTATGATCTGACATTGTTCTTGGATCTATTTCAATATTTGTAATTTTTGGCTCCAATTCCTTAGAGACCCAAACCGCATCCAGTCAGGCACTGCTTTCATGTACATGAGAGAAAAAAGTGAACTATTTTTCGAGCGGATGCTTAATTCTCCAAATATCTATCAATTTTACATTTTCTATCATTTCAAAAAAAGTTTTGAGAAGTCTACCCTCTTTCGTGTCTTTCCTCCTAATCGTTCTTTCGCTAGTGATGGGACTCTAATGGTCTCTAAATCCTGAATTTTTATTTATTTATTTTAATTTGGTGCATATATCCCTACCAAAATTATTTTTTCTCCCTCGACTTTAATTTCTACCATTAATTTTCTCCCTTTCTCTCTCTCTTTTTTTAAAATAATATTTATTACTTTTCGAAAAATTTAAACACTAAAAAGACAATACAATACAATACATTACAATACAATACATTAAAACAAAAACAATAAAATAAATCAAACAATTTCATTATGCCATCTTTCATTCACTTATTTCCATGACCTCCTCACACCTCCCTTTTTGTATTCCACTTCTGTTAATTATTTCAGCAATTCCTTTCCATCTTCCTCTGTTTTCTATCCTATAATTATCTTAACTCATTCTAACCTTATTTTTTCCTTTAATACTCTATTAATCTATTTATACTTAATTCCTTATAACATTTCTACTAAAGCCGTGTAACTTCATTCCAACATTTTTCTAACATTCATAAATTTTACAGTATTTCTGTAAATAGTCTTTAAATTTTTTCCAGTCTTCTTCCACCGACTCTTCTCCCTGGTCTCAGATTCTGCCAGTCATTTCCGCCAGTTCCATATAGTCTATAATTTTCTCCCTTTCTCATCCTTTTGAATTAATTGTGGTTCAAGTGCAGGTTTTATGTACAAAACAATTCCATGTTTTTTGGAAACATCTGATGCAACGAAATGGCTCCCTAGTCTCTCATTTTTCAAGATTTTCTCATGCTTTCTTGCAACGTGAGTCTCCTGTAGGCAAATTATATCCAAATTCCTTTTTAAAACTTCATGCCACACCCTGTTCCTTTTTATATTACTATTAAGGCCACTGACATTCCAAGTTAGTAATTTAAGATTTGCCTTTATCTAATTCATTTTAAAAAGATTTGCTTTTTTGCCCTGCTCTTTCAGTCTTTTCCAGTTCATCTTTTTGCATCTCATAAGGGGTTCTAAAGTCTCTCTGGGTCTTTGCCATGTTTCTCTAAGAATTCCTGTACCTGACTCTATGAGATTAGTCTAAATCTCTTTCTCCTGTAGATAAAGGAAACTCCCTCCAGGGATTCCCATTTGAAATTTATTTCTGCTCCTCTTAAAATTGCTGTCAGGTTTTGATACTTCCTTCTCTTAACTCTCAATTTAAATGGAATTTCTTTAAAAATGTCAACTTTCTGTCCTTCAACCACCAGACCATCCTCAAAAAATTTTTGCATTACTGCATCTTTAATTTTCTTTGTTGTGAAAGTCAAGAGAATGTCTGATGGCTGTCTTTTCTCTCTTGAAGCTCGGGTTCGAATTCTGTAAACATTCTCAATGCATGCTTCCATTCCTTCCTGTGCCCCCATCCAATTCCCCAATATCCCGCTCATATAACTTGCAAGGTCTTGTTCCTTCTCCTTTTCCGGCAACCCTCTTATTCGAACTGTGTTTGCATTTAATTTTACAGTGGTACCTCAGGTTAAGTACTTAATTCGTTCTGGAGGTCCGTACTTAACCTGAAACTGTTCTTAACCTGAAGCACCACTTTAGCTAATGGGGCCTCCAGCTGCTGCCATGCCGCCGGAGCCCGATTTCTGTTCTCATCCTGAAGGAGAGTTCTTAACCCGAGGTACTATTTCTGGGTTAGCAGTCTGTAACCTGAAGCGTATGTAACCTGAGGTACCACTGTAATTGTAAAAGTAAATTCTGTTGTTCTAGTTCATTCTGTCTGTCTGCCAGGCCCCCTACCGCCCCCGCTAAAGCCAATTGATCTTCCTTTATTTCCTCTCTCAATTCCACTGTTTTTTCTAGTTTTACTACCTTTACCTCCAAAGCATTTACTTTTTCATCCAGTCTGTCAAATTTCTGTGACAATACTTCCTTGGTGTTCTCTATATCTGATCTTATTTCCATAAATTGTTTAATCATAGTCTGCTCCAACCCTTTCCTAAATTCTGCAAAATGTAAGGCCATAAGTTCAGCCATTTCTGATTTTGGAGTATTTTCTATATCTTCCTGTGCTGAGCCTCTCCTTCTTTCTGACACTCTCTGTTTTACTGGCTCTTCTTTTCGATTTCTCTGCCATGTCAGTTCTCAAACTGTTCCCAAGCACTTCTGTCTTAAGGACACTTCAGTCCTCCTGTCTTTTCCTCACTCCTATCTTGTATACAACAGTTCTCCCACCATCCAATTCCCACACCCTTTTAAATCAAACTGTAACAACACTTTCAGGTTTACAGAAAATTATAAAAGTTCCACAATATCCAAAAAATAAAAAGATAAGAGGGCAAGATCACCTTTATATACAATCTACGGAAGAAAAAATATAAAAGCAGGCCACAACAGAAGTCAAATAGTTACCACAGTTCAAACTCGCTGTTACGTTGTCTCCTTGATGATGATTTAGCACTTGCCAAACCTCTAGTTATATTATAATCCACAAAACGTCTTGTAATCCAAAATAGCTCCACTGTGAGCCCAAAAATTTTCCAGGCGTATTTATAAGCCAAATGATATTTGTAATCCAAATGATGTTTGTAATCCAATATCTGCTGCTTCTCTGTTTTTATTCTAATACAGGCCCTGTTCTTTAAAAAGGAATCCCCCCCCCTTCTCCTACTCCAGCTCTTACCAGGCACTTTCCCTCCCTGGGATTACCTCCCACTTATGGAAAAGTGTCCTTCTGCCAAGGTTTGGTAGGACTTGCCAAGATACAAGGTCCTTTTTAGAATTATTATTTTTTAAATCTTGGCAATTTTTCCAAGCCTTTCAGTGCTTTCACTCATAAAATCTGCATTCCTATTCATAAGAACTGAGAGTACTCCAATCTCTTCCTGTATCTTCCTTTTAAGAAATCAAAGAACAAAGAGCAATAGTTTCTTCTTGTATCCAAAGTATATTGTATTATTAAGTAGCAAAGTGCAGTTTCAAAAGTATCTGAAGACTGATGTGTCTCCAAAGATTTTTTCCCCATTCACAAGTCTGTACCGCAATTATTTTTATTTTGAAAACTCCATTGTAGTTGACAATAACTTTTTTCCTTTGAAAGTCTGCTGCTTCAGGTGGCGATTCATGGTTTCAGGATTCTGAGCCACGCTGGAGCCACAGGCAGGCTCAAATCGCTGTCTCTCTCTCTCACACACACACCCCACTCGCTGCCAATGCAATGGCGGAGCTCCGGCAATCGTGGCAAGCCTCTTTATGCCTGGCTGGTCCCCTCAACACCCTACTGCCTGTGGGGCCTTTTTTTGGGGGGGTGTGCCTAACCCTGGCACTCTCCTCCATTGCTCCAAACCCCCCGGTAATGGTCGTCTTTTAGACGGATGACTCGCAACACGCCGCCATTTCCCTTCGCAGGCAAACCGGAAGCCCCACTCATGGACTCATTGTTAAAACCGTGTTTATGGAAGACAATCTTATTCGGCTACGAGTGATCGCCAAAGAAGAAGACTTTCTCTCTTGACTGTGTATTAAGGCTTATTATACAGTATATATTTTTCAACAGCATTTGTTCATTAGAGCTGTTATCTGAGCAGCTATACTCTCATTGCAAAGATCTGATTTACATACGTCAACAGAATACCAGTGAATGCATTTGTGTCTATGAAAAATATCAGATCAATTCACACGAGATTAAGAAATCTTGGGGATGGGAGAAATATTAAAGCAAAGCTATATACAAGTGATGAATACATGGGAAATAACGCATGAGAAAGAAAATAGAACATAGCTATGTAAACCTAACTCTGATCAGGAGAACAATCTGCAACACAGCCACTAAAAGGAATAAAAAATTCTAATGAAAGCAAATTCTAATTCTGAACACAATCATTGGTTTACTCTCTGTAGGAGTTATTTGATAGGATTAAATATCTTTCCACACTCCAACCTTACTATTTCCCTTGTACGAGTTCTTTTCAGTTTAGTAAGGGAGTCCTTGTCACATAAGTTATTTCTATAGGCCAAACATTTCTAAGATTTCCTCCCTGTATGAGTTCTTTGGTGGCTAGTAAGGATATTACTACGACTGAAGCTTTTTCCACACTCCGAACACGTATACGGTTTCTCTCCTGTATGAGTTCTTTCATGTGACTTAAGGGAGCTACTGTGACTGAAGCTCCTTCCACACTCCGAACACGTATACGGCTTCTCTCCTGTATGAGTTCGTTGATGCGACTTAAGGGAGCTACTGCACCTGAAGCTCCTTCCACACTCCGAACATGTGTAAGGTTTCTCTCTTGTATGAGTTCGTTGATGCAACGTAAGGGAGCTACTGCACCTGAAGCTCCTTCCACACTCCGAACATGTATACGGTTTTTCTCCTGTATGAGTTCTTTGATGCAACGTGAGTTGGCTACCGCGACAAAAGCTCTTGCCACACTCCAAACATTTATAAGGTTTCTCTCCTGTGTGCAATCTTTGATGCAAGGTAAGGCTGCCACTCTGGCTGAAGCTCTTTCCACACTCCAAACATGTATATTGTTTCTCCCCTGTATGAATTCTTTCATGCGAGGAAAGGTAGTCAATGCGACTGAAGCTCTTGCCACATTCCCAGCATTTATAAGGTTTGCTGCCTTGATGAGTTTGTTGGTGTCTAGTAAGCCCATAGCTGTGAGCAAAGCTCATTCCACACTCCAAACACGTATGCTGTTTCTCCCCTGTATGAGTTCTTTGATGCGACTTAAGTGTGCTACTTTGAGTGAAGCTCCTTCCACACTCTGAACATGTATACGGTTTCTCCCCTTTATGAGTTCGTTGATGGGACTTAAGATGGCTACTGTTACTGAAGCTCTTTCCACACTCTGAGCATGTATACGGTTTCTCTCCTGTATGAGATCTTTGATGCACGGTAAGGGCACCACAGTGACTGAAGCTCTTTCCACACTCTGAACATGTATACGGTTTCTCCCCTGTATGAGTTCGTAGATGCAAGGTAAGGGAACTACTTTCACTGAAGCTCTTTCCACACTCCAAGCATTTACATGGTTTCTCTCCTGTATGAGTTCTTTGATGCGACATGAGATGGCTACCACGACAAAAGCTCTTTCCACACTCCAAACATTTATACAGTTTCTCTCCTGTGTGCAATCTTTGATGCAAGGTAAGGCTGCAATTCTGACTGAAGCTCTTTCCACACTCCAAACATGTATATTGTTTCTCCCCTGTATGAATTCTTTCATGCGAGGAAAGGTAGTCGATGCGACTGAAGCTCTTGCCACATTCCCAACATTTATAACGTTTGCTGCCTCGATGAGTTTGTTGATGTATAGTAAGCGCACTGCTGCGAGCGAAGCTCATTCCACACTCCAAACACGTATGCGGTTTCTCCCCTGTATGAGTTCTTTGATGCAACTTAAGGGTGCCACTCCTACTGAAGCTCCTTCCACACTCTAAACATGTATACGGTTTTTCTCCTGTATGAGATCTTTGATGCGACTTAAGGTGGCCACTCTGACTGAAGCTCATTCCACACTCTGAACATGTATACGGTCTCTCCCCTGTATGAGATCTATGATGCATGGTAAGGACACTACTGTGACTGAAGCTTTTTCCACACTCTGAACATGTATACGGTCTCTCCCCTGTATGAGTTCGTTGATGCACGGTAAGGGCACTACTGTGACTGAAGCTCTTTCCACACTCCAAACATTTATAAGGTTTCTCTCCTGTGTGCAATCTTTGATGCAACGTAAGGCTGCTACTGTTACTGAAGCTCTTTCCACACTCCAAACATTCATGTTTTTTCTCCTCTCTGGGAATTTGGTTTTCACCACCCTGAGACATACAAGGGTCACCCTCCGGCTTCTCCTTTCGTCTCCCCTCTCGCCTGCTGCCTCCATCTTGAACCCTCAGCTTCCTTTGCTCTTTGGATCCTTTTGGTGACATTTCTGATTGTTCCCCTTCTGCCAGCATCCCTTCAACATCTCCTGATGGAATAAAAAGGCAAACTGATGAAATGCTAAAGGAGCGTCTTCACCCCAATCATTCAGTCAGGACACAGAGATCCAGGTCCCGGGGCCTTGAGGCAGTTCCCTCACTGTGAGAAGGGAAGTTACAGGGAACGAGGCAGAGGGCCTTATCGGTAGTGGTGCCCACCCTGTGGAACGCCCTCTTGTGAGATGTCAGATAAATAACTATACAACTTTTAGAAGACATCTGAAGGCAGCCATGTAGAGGCAAGTTTTTAATGATTTATGCTTTATTGTGCTTTTATATTTGTTGGAAGCCAGCTAGAGTGGCTGGGGCAGCCCAGTGAGATGTGTGGGGTACAAATAATGAAAGTATTAATATTAGTATTATTATTTGTTGAGTTTATATACCTCCCTATACCCAGAAGTCTCAGCGTGGTTCTCAGAAAAGATCACAGAATAAAAACAACAATCCAATAACACCCCCTCCAAAAAAGTCACATTTGAAAAAGGATATAGGATGTCAAAAATATCAACCAAAAGCCTGTTTAAAAAGGAACCTTTTTGCCTGGCATTTAAAGGTGTATAATGAAGGTGCCAGGAGAACATTCCTGGGGAAATGCATTCCACAGATGGGGAGCCACTGCAGAGAAGGCCCTGTTCTCGTGTTGCCACTCTCTGGATCTCTTGAGGAGGAGGCCCACGAAGGAGGGCCTCAGAATATGATCTCAGGGTTCGGGTAGGTTGTTTTTTTTAAAAAAAATTATGTAGATCACCAGGAACCAAACTCAAACAGTGAAACCCCCCAGGTGGCCAATACATTGGGTGTACATAAACAATAAAAACATATTCAAATCAACCATATGTACAATTCTATATATATTAAACTCCACACTCCATAAGATTTTAACATTTAATCCTCCCATATTGTTCAAACCTACCCAAATAATTCAATATCTTCTCAAACCAGTCCTCCTCTTTCTCACTGACCTTAAACCCTTTCATTTTACGTACCTTCACAGTTAGGTATTCTAAAAATATAATATTATTCAATTTTCCCCTCCATTTGTTCACCCCTGGCTCTTCTCCATTTTTCCAATCATTCGCTCTAACCTGTCTAGCTGCAATTACCACCAATTTTATCCATTTACATTCCTCTTTTGTTTTTAACCCGGTGCTACCCAGGCTAATAAGAACCATTAATTTAGATATTTCCACACTTCTACCCACAATTCCCAATATTTCTATACCAATCTGTTTCCAAAACTTCTTAACTAATGGAGAATCCCACCACATATGACTGTACATTCCCATCACTCCACATTTCCTCCAGCAATTCTTACTTCCACATTTTGTGATAGGATACAACCTTACTGGTGTGTAATACCATTTTTGTACCAGCTTCAACCCCTGTTCCTGGATTATCCTAGAGGTAGCAACAAAGAGTGATTGCTGAAAAATTCTTTCCCAATCTTCATCTAAAATCTGTTCCTGGATATCTAACCTCCAATATTCTTTCAAACTTTCCTCTGGTGATTTCCCCATATTTAATAACACGTTATACAATTTTGAAACTATTTTGGCCCTATCTAACCTATATTCTTTCACTAATTCTTTGAAGGGTGTAATAATTCTTTTACCACATTCTTTAACTTCTTCTTACTTCAACAGGGAGGAAAGTTGCTTTTTCTGTAACCAATTAATTTTGTTCCAAATTCCACTTTCCTCTTCCATCGTACCTTCTAATTTCCCAACTTTTCTCCATATCCTGAATTGAGATCTCCTTTAATTTATCCCCTACCTCTTTCAGGATGAGCTCCCGTAACGGGCCAATTTTATCATAATACACATTTGGGTAAAAGGAGAAAAGTCAGGAAAAAGCTTACTTCTCCACTTCTCCCATACCCAAATGGACCCCGTAAATGTTGATATTTTTTCTACTTCCTTTTTCCTTTTCCTCCTATCGAATATTCTTATTTTCCCTCCAACCAAATCATAAGATGTCTCAATTGGCAAGCTTCATAATATAAAACTAAATTGGGAACCCCCCATCCTCCATCTTGGGTTCTATGATACCTCTATCTGCCGGCCAGCCTTAAGTTTCTTGGATGCAAAAACAAACCTATTGATTTTCCCTTGCCACCCCTTCAAAATCCGTTCCGGTATGTGCCAGGGTAATACATAAAAAAGATAGGTTAATCTGGGTAACAAAAGTATTTAACTAATGCAATTCTTGTACTAATTGATTCCTTCCTTTTCTCCCATATTCTCAACTTCGACTGAATACCGCTCTAAATTTCTTTATAATTATATTCAAATATTTTCTTCACATTTTGAGATATCCTTACTCCTAAATACTTTACTATTTTATTTGCTATAGGAATACAGTGGTACCTCGGGTTAAGTACTTCATTCGTTCCGGAGCTCCGTTCTTAACCTGAAACTGTTCTTAACCTGAAGCACCACTTTAGCTAATGGGGCCTCCTGCTGCTGCTGCGCTGCCAGAGCACAATTTCTGTTCTCATCCTGAAGCAAAGTTCTTAACCTGAGGTACTATTTCTGGGTTAGCGGAGTCTGTAACCTGAGGCGTATGTAACCTGAAGTGTATTTAACCTGAGGTACCACTGGGCCAAATAATTCAGAGGCTTCTAATTGAGTTTTACGTTCCACATTTAAACACATCATTGGTGATTTAGAAAAATTAACTTTTAACCCTGAAACTTTTGAAAATCCTTGCAAAATTCTTTTTAATGGCCCCATTGGGGTCTCTAGGTCCTTGACCATCACCATCATATCATCTGCATACATTGTCATTAACTCCCCCCTGCTCTCCTTTCCCCCGGGATTTCAAATCCTTTAATCTCATTATTCTTTTGGAGTTTAATTGCTAATGGTTCCAATGCTAAGATAATGAACATGGGAGAAAGTGGACATCCTTGCTTTGTACCACTTAGCACTTGGGCGACCCACCAATTCCTACCATTGCTTTGGACTCTGTATATATTGCTTCTATCACATTTTGAAATTTCACTCCAAATTTATATTTTTGCAGTATCTTTTTCAAATGATTCCAATCCACCGAATCAAATGCTTTATATATATCCAATGACATGAGAGTAAGAGGCAGGTCCTCATTTTTCGCTAAATACACCATACCCATCACCTTCCTAACTGCCTCCACCAAATGCTTCTGAGGCATAAACCCAAATTGCTCTTTCCCCACCAATTGTACAATACAGTTTTTTAGCCTTATTGCTATGACTTTGGCAAATATTCTATACTACATATTAGTAATCGATATTGGCCTATAAGAATCCGCCAGAGTTTGATCTTTCCCTGGTTGGGGAATTAATACCAACCTTGGCTCCAACCAGGTAGGTGGAGTTGAAGCTCCATTCAAAATTCCTTGGTACGGTACAGTCACAGGTGGCACCAATATATCCTTAAAATGCTTATAATACCCCACACTGTACCCATCCAATCCTGGTGCCGATTGCACATTCATAGAGTCGATTGCTAATCTAACTTCCTCCTCTGTTATATCCTTATCCAATTCCCTTCTACTTTCTTCTTGTAATTCTGGGAGCTCCAATCCTTCACAAAATTGATCCACCTCTTCGTCCTTAATTCCTTTATTTGCATACAATCTATTATAAAATCCTAAAAAGGTCTCCAATATCTTATTAGGGTCTGTTTCCAATCCCCCTTTATCATCTCTAATAGCTCTAATATTTTTCCTTTCCTGATAATTCCTAATTTTATTTGCTAATATTTTCCCTCCTTTCCCTTCACATTCATAATATTTTTGTTTACAATACCATAACTTTAAAGTGGTTCTATTCATATCTAAAACTTTCAACTCTTCTCTTTTGATCTATTTTTTCCCTGTCCTTCTTTTGCTTAGACATCCTAAATTTCTCCTCCAATAACCTAATTTCTTTTTCTACCTCCTTAATCCTTCTAGCTTTCCCCTTTTTTAACACTGACAAACTCTGAATACATTCTCCCCTAATGACTGCCTTTATTGCTTCCCATTTTGTTGCTAATGGGATTTCTGGGTCTAGAGTCTCCTCAAAATACCTTTCTACCGCAATTTATATTTTAACTTACTCTGCTCATCAGCTACCAACCAAGGGTATGACCTATTAATGTGACCTATTTGAAGGAAAGCAGATATGGGGGCATGGTCAGTGATCTTAATCATTCCAATATCCATTCCCTTCACCCATTTCCTAGCCTCTTGTGATATTAAAATACAGTCTTGAGAATGTTCCATGTGGGCTAGAATAAAATGAATATGAGTAATCCTTGGGGAACAACTCCATCCATAGTTCCAATAATCCAAACCTCCCACATACAGTGGTGCCTCGCAAGACGAAATTAATTCGTTCCGCAAGTTTTGTCATCTTGCGATTTTTTCGTCTTGCGAAGCACGGTGTCAGGAAAGTTTTGGAAAAGCTTCAAAAATCACCAAAGTCTTTAAAAACCTCAAAAAAGGCTACCACACCGCGTTCTATGTGTTGCTCCTCGAAGTCAAGTCGCAACTGTATTAACGGTGTTAAGAAAAGGAAACAAACTTGCAAGACGTTTCCGTCTTGCGAAGCAAGCCCATAGGGAAAACCGTCTTGCGAAGCAGCTCAAAAAACAAAAAACCCTTTCGTCTAGCGAGTTTTTTGTCTTGCAAGGCATTCGTCTTGCGAGGTACCACTGTAATTTTTTTAACTTCATACCCTTTTCCTTTTTGGAACTATTTCCCCCTTAGATTAACATTAAAGTCCCCCCCCCAACTACTTTTGTATAAGGCGAGAATTTCTCAAGCTTCTGTAAGCACCTATAGAGAAAATCCAGCTGGTGCTTCTTAGGGGGATAAATTGACGCTAATGCCAGAGGCTCACCCTCCAAGCAACCTTGAACAAAAACAAACCTTCCATTCTTATCTCTTAACACCTTATTCTCCACAAAGTCAACATTGGATTTAATTACTATTCCCACCACTCTACTTTTCAAAGTTCCAGAAGCCATACATTTTTTCCCTTTTACAAAGCCAGGGAAATTAACCTCCCTCTTCCCACCCCCCACTATATGTTTCTTGCAAAAAAACAACATCATCAAATGTACTTCCCAATTCTCACTCGCTTCACCTGATTAACCAAACCTCTAACATTAAGAGCTGTACACACAATATTCACATTCTTTATCATGTCTTTCCCAACCATCTCACTTCTCCTTTTCCCTCCTTTTGTACCATACCCGCCTGGAGGTAAACCCAACCCCAACCACCATCCCAACTAACCCTACTGTGAGCCCTACCCTTTCACCCCCACAAAAAAGTCCAGGCAAAAGAAACAAGAGAATAACTGTGTGCCGCCAAACTGTGTTCATACGCAAAACTTAGGTTCATAAGGAAAGAAGTATTGCGGTCCTGAGCCATTTAAGGCTTTATAGGTCAAAATTTGCACTTTGAATTGGACCCCGTAACTAACTGGCAGCCACTGCAGTCAGACCAGGATGGGTGTAATATCCTCAAACCGCCTTGCTCCAGTGAGCAACCTGGCCAGTAAATTCTGCACTCGCTGAATTTTCCAAATTGTCTTCAGAGCCAGCCCTACGTATAACGCATATCTATATCTAACCTTGAAGTTACCAGAGCATAGACAACGGTAGATAGATAGGCTATCCCTGTACAGATAGAAGCTTAGCTGGGCCACCAGCCAAAGCTGATGGAAGGCACTACAGGCCATCTGAGCCTCATGCAACAGCAAAGGATCCAGGATTACCCCCAAGCGACGAACCTGCTCCTCCAGAGGAAGTGTAACCCCATCAAGAGCAGGCGACCTCCCAGCCATCTGCTCTAGGGAACCACCCACTAACTGAGCCTCACTCTTATCTGGATCGAGCTTCAATTTGTTGGCTCTCATCCAGTCCATTACCCAGGCAAGACACTGGTCCAGCACTTCCACTGCCTCATCTTCAGATAGAAAGGAGAAATAGAGCTGAGCGTCATCAGCATACTGCTGGCAACGTACTCCAAACCTCTGGATAACCCTTCCCAGCGATTTCATTTAGATGTTAAACAACAAGGGGGATTGGATTGGGCCTTGCGGAACCCCACACTGAAGCTTCCATGGGGCTGAAATGCATTCCCCAAGTAACACCCTCTGGGAACGACCATCCAAGTAGGACTGGAACCACAGCAAAGCATTGCCACCCACCCCCAGTTCAGAGAGTCGCTCCAGAAGGATACCATGGTCAGTGGTATTGAAAGCCGCTGAGAGGTGGAGAACAATGAACAGGGACACATTTCCCTTGTCTCTCTCTCGACAGAGGTCATCATACAGGGCCACCAAAGCAGTTTCTGTGCCAAAACCAGGCCTAAACCTGATTGAAATGGATCCAGAAAATCAGTTTCTTCCAAAAGCACCTGGATCTGGTCTGCGACCACTCGCTCCAGAACCTTGCCCAGGGAAGGGAGATCAACAACTGGCCGGTAGTTAGGCTTTCTGAATCCAGGGAAGGTTTCCTAAGGAGTGGTTTTACCACTGCCTCCTTCAAACAGGCAGGGACAACCCTCTCTGGTAAAGAGGCACTGATCACCTCCCTGGCCCAGCCAATTGTTCCCTCCCTGCTGGATTTTATCAGCCAAGAGGGGAAAGGGTCTAGAATGCAAACGGTCACCCTGACTGATCAAAGCACCATGTCCATATCCTCGAGCCTTGCCAACTGAAAAAACTCATCCAACACAACAGGACTACACTGTGCTCTGGACACCCCATGAGACTCATCTGCTGTAACAGCTGAGTCAAGGTCTTGGTGGATACAAGCAATTTTATCTTCAAAATGCTTTGCAAACAAGTCACAGCGAGCTACTGCTGGTTCTACTCCTCCTTTGAGCCTGCCTGTAAAAGGCTCTGTACAACTTGGAAAAGTTCTGCCGGACGACATAATGAAGATGCAATGGAGGCAGCAAAGTATGCTTTCTTTTCTCCCTTCACTGCCACTAGGTAGGCTTGATAATGAGCCCTTACCAGTGTTCGGTTGCATTCATTTGGATCTTTCCTCCACTTTCATTCAAGCAGTCCCCCAGCTTGTTTCCTCACCTAAGCTCTAGAGTATACCAGGGGGCCAATCAGGCTCCACAAAGTGGGAGAGGGCGCTCAGGGGTATTATTATTAGTAGTAGTAGTATTACTAGTAGTAGTAGCAGCATTAGCCTGTCTAAATAAGGCCTCAGCCACACTTGGAATTTTAATGTGGACTTGAAGTTGCTTGTTTCTCCTTTTTTTAAAAAAACCTCTTATGCCCAGAACTCCTCTTGCAGAAACTGCTTACACAAATAATTTAAAATGTGTGTGTTGGGGGGGGGGGGTAATTGGTTCTTTTTGTTTCTGTTTTGATTATGTACTTTTATCCTGTGAACCGTCCTGAGGCCTGTGGGTATAGGGAGGTATGTAAATTTAACAAATTATAGTAAAATCAGGCCAGATAAAAATTATTACAAGTTCCAGAGGGAGCCCCTGCAGAAGGTTTTCCAATGCTTAAGGGTTTGCCTTGACCACAAGCCCTATGGAGAGATCAAAGAAGGTCCCCCACCTGCCCAAGTTGGGCTGCAGGGAGGAGAGCAGGAGAAAGATCTGCCCCTCCATTGGGAAAAGATTTCCTACCCCCATAAAAAGGGGGGAAGACCTATAAATGCATTATTTTAGCGGAATTATATACAGAATGCATTAATTATGGCAAATGTAAATATTTGTGGAAATACCCTTTGCAAAAGCGCGTGCATTAGGCGAGATCTGCACCAAAATGCTGACCAATTTTCAAGAGGTCTTTAAAAATGTGAAAATCTGGATAAATTGATGACTAGAAAAAGGAGACGCAGAAAAAAACTTACATTGAAACGCTTTGCCAAACAGGGGTTTTTTTTAATCCCTCCTCAGAACTCCCTCCAGCAGCACCCCCACTCCCCCCCCCCCGCCAGTTATAACATATAATGATTTGACGCACCTCCAGCGCCTCCGCGAGAAACGACACTCGCCGCCATGTTCGGCATCTTCCCACGGAAGCGGAAGCTGCTATTCTCCCGTCAGCCTTTTTTCTTCCGCTCTAGGAATCTCAGCTCTGTCGTCGCTGCTCTTAACCGATTCGGAGCCGAGCGGCAGGAGACTCTGGGCTTCTCCGGGCAAGGAGAGAGGAGAGGCGCTGGTCTCGCCTCCGGAAAGCCCCGCTGGATCAGCTGCACGGAAGCCCTAAAACGTTTTCTAAACTAATTTTTAAAAATTATTTTCAATTTTCAAATTAACAACATTTTTGCTTTTGGTACACTCCATATCCAATCCAAATTTGCAATAATTGACTTTCCCCCGCCCCCGTTTCTATCCCCCCCTTTTATTCTCCTTGCCTGTAATTACTATATATTTCCTCAATTAATTTCAACCTTTGTTCTCCCTCCTAAATCTATTCTTAGTTCATAAATGTTACATCAAACTTGCTAATGGTTTCACGTTTTTACAGTGTTCTTTAAAACAGTCTATAAAGTTCTCCCACTCTTGATTGAAATTTTTTCTGATTAGATCTGTTCACAGAAAGTTTAGCCATTTCGGCATACTCAGTCATCTTAGTTATCCATTCTTCTTTCTTTGGGACCTTTTCTTCTTTCCACATCTGGGTTAGTAGCATCTGGCCTCTTTTGCTTCCTTGGCAATTCTCCTCCTATTACACCAAGTTAAAAAGCCTCTGGTTTTTTTAACAAACATAATTTTAAACTTTTTTTAAAGTTCATTGTATATCATTTCCTGAAGCCCTTTACTTTTGTACATGTCCACCACATTTGGGGGGGGGGGAGTACCTTCCCCTTATCCTTACATTTCCAGTATAGAGGTATTTTTTATACATTTTAGAAGAAGAAGAAGAGGAGTTTGGATTTGATATCCCGCCTTTCACTCCCTTTCAGGAGTCTCAAAGCGGCTCACATTCTCCTTTCCCTTCCTCCCCCACAACAAACACTCTGTGAGGTGAGTGGGGCTGAGAGACTTCAGAGAAGTGTGACTGGCCTAAGGTCACCTAGCAGCTGCATGTGGAGGAGCGGAGACGCGAACCCGGTTCCCCAGATTATGAGACTACCGCTTTTAACCACTACACCACACTGGCTCTCAAACTTAGCAAACTTTACTGGAGTAAAATACCACCTGTACATCATCTTCATATAATTTTCTTTTAATGAACTACATGCCGTGAATTTTAAAATCTCTTTCCACCTCTTTTCCCATGATTCAAGTGGTATATTATAACCTATATCTTTTGTCCATTGTATCATTACAGCTTTAACCTCTTCATCTTTCGTCTCCCATTCCAACTGTAGTTTGTACATTCTTGGTAACAATTTCTCATTATTTTCTAATAATTCCCTTTCAAACTTTAAGAATTCCTTCCCAAAGCCCTTCTCTTTGTCTCCTCTGAATAGGTCATTTAATTGGTAATATTGTAACCAATCTGTTAACAGAGCTTTTATATCCTCATATTCTTTCACCTTTAATTTGTAGTCTACTTCTGTTAGCAGATCTTTCTTTGTTGCCCAATTTCCATTCATGTTTACCTTTTTTACAGATATGGCTTCCAATGGGGAATGCCACAAAGGTGTCTTGTTCTCTAATAAATACTTACATTTGTCCCATACTTGGTAAATTGATTTCCCTATAATGTGGTTCAGGAATCCCTTGTGTACCTTTGTTTTCTCATACCATAAGTAAGCATGCCAACCAAACCTATTATCATGTCCTTCCAGATCTAATACCTCAGTATTGTTTAACTGTATCCATTCTCGCAGCCAGCACAGACAGGACACTTCATAATATAACTTTAAAGCCAGCAGGGAGAATCCACCTCTTTGTTTTAAACCTGTTAATAATTTATATTTTATTCTAGGTCCCGTCCCTCCCCCCCCCCCGTCAGATAAATTTAGAAATATCCTTTTCCCATTGCTTAAAGTGTTCCGCTCCTCTGACCGTGGGTATTGATTGGAATAAAAACAAGATTATTGTCAATACATTCATTTTTATCACAGAGACCCTTCCCCACAATAATAAGTTTATCTTTCCCCATATCTCCATATCCCTTTTAACTTCATTCCAGACCTTTAAATAGTTCTATTTAAAAATATTTATATTTCTAGTTGTTAACCACACCCCTAGATATTTCACTTTCTTTTCTATCACTAGGTCTGTTTTTGACTTAAATTCATTTTTCTTTTGTTCTGACATATTCTTCAGTAATACTTTTGTTTTTATTCAACTTTTATGCTACTTGCCCAAAATTATCATTTTTTCCCTAGCACCTTGGAATATTTTCCAGGGGTTCTTCCACAGTTCTTCCACAGGTCGTCCGCAAATGCTTTCCATTTATATGATTTGCACCCTACTGTAATTCCTTTTATGTTTTCATCCATCCTTATGCTCCTTACATTTTCTAAACTAAACTGCCCAGCTTTCCACGAGGAGGTCAAGGTGGCTGACGTTGGTCTCCCACCCACACCTCTTCCATTTTACCCTCACAACATTCTTGTGAGGTAGGTTGGGGGGGAGAGACTGTGAATTGCCCATTATCACCCAGTGAGGGAAGATTTGAACCCTGGTTCCCCTGGGCCTCCATCAATATTCTAACCGCTGCACTGTACTGCCTGTCTCAGCACCTGCAATGAATGTGCTCCCCACATCAGATATCCTGATCGGGCCCTTCCTAGCAGAACTGGCCTAGTTTCTTTTATGGGTTTTTGTGTGTGCTTTTTCTCAGAATCATAAGAATTGGAAGGGACCCCAAGGGTCATCTAGCTCAACCCTCTGCAATGCAGGAATCACAGATAAAAAAATCCCTGATGGAAGCCCATCCAACCTCTGTTGAGCCAGACATCCTGGAGAGTGAAGTCAAATGGGCCTTAGAAAGCACTGCTAATAACAAAGCCAGTGGAAGTGATGATATTCCAGCTGAACTATTTAAAAGATGGTGCTGTTAAGGTGCTACACTCAATATGCCAGCAAGTTTGGAAAACTCAAAATCCCAAAGAAATCCCAAAGAAGGGCAGTGCCAAAGAATGCTACAACTACTGCACAATTGCACCCATTTCACACGCTAGCAAGGTTATGCTTAAAATTCTACAAGGCAGGCTTAAGCAGTATGTGGACCGAGAACTCCCAGAAGTGCAAGCTGGATTTCAAAGGGGCAGAGGAACCAGAGACCAAATTGCAAACATGCGCTGTATTATGGAGAAAGCTAGAGAGTTCCAGAAAGACATCTACTTCTGCTTCATTGACTATGCAAAAGCCTTTGACTGTGTCGACCACAGCAAACTATGGCAAGTTCTTAAATAAATGGGAGTGCCTGATCACCTCATCTGTCTCCTGAGAAATCTCTATGTGGGACAAGACGCTACAGTTAGAACTGGATATGGAACAACTGATTGGTTCAAAATTGGGAAAGGAGTACGACAAGGCTGTATGTTGTCTCCCTGCTTATTCAACTTACATGCAGAATTCATCATGCGAAAGGCTGGGCTGGATGAATCCCAAATCGGAATTAAGATTGCCAGAAGAAATATCAACAACCTCAGATATGCAGATGACACAACCTTGATGGCAGAAAGTGAGGAGGAATTAAAGAACCTTTTAATGAGGGTGAAAGAGGAGAGCACAAAATACGGTCTGAAGCTCAACATCAAAAAAACGAAGGTCATGGCTGCTGGTCCCATCACGTCCTGGCAAATAGAAGGGGAAGAAATGGAGACAGTGAGAGATCTTTCTTGGGCTCCATGATCACTGCAGACAGTGACAGCAGTCACAAAATTAAAAGACACCTGCTTCTTGGGAGAAAAGCAATGACAAACGTAGACAGCATCTTAAAAAGAAGAGACATCACCTTGCCAACAAAGGTCCATATAGTTAAAGCTATGGTTTTCCCAGTAGTGATGTATGGAAGTGAGAGCTGGACCATAAAGAAGGCTGATCGCCGAAGAATTGATGCTTTTGAATTAGGGTTCTGGAGGAGACTCTTGAGAGTCCCATGGACTGCAAGAAAAACAAACCTATCCATTCTGAAGGAAATCAGCCCTGAGTGCTCACTAGAAGGACAGATCCTGAAGCTGAGACTCCAATACTTTGGCCACCTCATGAGAAGAGAAGACTCCCTTGAAAAGACCCTGATGTTGGGAAAGATGGAGGGCACAAGGAGAAGGGGACGACAGAGGATGAGATGGTTGGACAGTGTTCTCAAAGCTACCAGCATGAGTTTGACCAAACTGCGGGAGGCAGTGGAAGACAGGAGTGCCTGGCGTGCTCTGGTCCATGGGGTCACAAAGCGTCGGACATGACTAAGCGACTAAACATCAACAACAACAATGGACAGTCCACCACCTTCCAAGGTTTCAAGTGTCAAACAGCATTTGCCATCAGAAAGTTATTTGTCGGGATCTCCTTTCTCCTTATTTGAGTCCACTGATTTGGGTTCAACCCTCTGGAGTAGCAGAAAACAAGCTTGCATTATCTTCCCAGGACTAAGGCTTTGGAAGTCAGACCGTGGGAAGTCAAAAAATTAAGACTACAATTTGGAAGACGATTGGGCTCTTTTTTAATTTTAGTTGTTAATGTTTATTTTATTTTATTTTATTTTATATGTTAATTAGATGTTCTTATTGCAAAATTAATAAACACTTAAAAAAAAAAGATCCTCAAACCTTTTTTGCTACTGCTCCACTTATGTAATTTTGGAGCTGTTTACTGGGGTGGGTGGGGACACATTTCTAAGTACATCCAATATGTCCCCCCCCCCCCGCAGCATGTTCACTGAGTAGTAGTAGTAATAATAATTTTATTATTTGTATCCCGCCATGGCCTCTCTGGGTGGCTTCTAGCACATTTGGAAAACACAATAAAATGTCAAAACATTAAAAACTTCCTGATACAGGGCTGCCTTCAGATGTCTTCTAAAAGTCAGATAGTTCTTTATTTCCTTGACATCTGAAAGGAGGGCCATTTCACAGGGAGGGTGCCACTACCGAGAAGGCCCTCTGCCTGGTTCCCTGTAACCTCACTTCTCTCAGGAAGGGAACCACCAGAAGGCCCTTGGAGCTGGACCTCAGTGTCCGGGCAGAACGATGGGGGTGGAGACGCTCCTTCAGGTATACAGGGCCGAGGCCGTTTAGGGCTTTAAAGGTCAGCACCAACACTTTGAATTGTTCTTGGAAATGTACTGGGAGCCAATCTTGAGGTATTTCAGGACTGGTGTCATATGGTCCCGGCAGCCACTCCCAGTCACCATTCTGGGAAGTAAGCCTTTTCCCTACTGATGACCGATATTTCATTCTGATGCTGGGGGAATCTCTTCCCTTTTGGGGTCCCTGGCTCTATTCTGGTAGATAGGCAGGTAAAACTGACCCTAGCACAGGCTGCGTAACATTAGGAGCTTTGGTCAAGGTCTGGAGTGGAGTCCCCTTGAAATGTGCCTTTTTCTGGGAACAGAGTAATTTTATTGATAGAGCAAAGCTTCCTCATTTCAAATACAGTGGTACCTTGGTTTTCGGACAGAATGCATTCTGGGAGTCCATTCGACTCCCAGAACCGTTTGAAAACCAAAGCGTGGCTTCCGATTGGCTGAAGGAGTGTCCTGCAGCCAATCAGAAGCCGCGCCGGACGTTCAGCTTCTGAAAATTGTTCAAACACCGAGACCCTCACCTCCGGGTTTTGATTATTCGAAAGTCAATTTGTTTGGGAGCCAAGGCGTTTGAGATCCAAGGTATGACTGTACGCGCATCCCACTCTTGTTTATATTAAGAACCGAAAGTGGCTTACAATATTTTTTTAAAAAAGGAAGCTAACCCTTTTTATATACTGCTCGATTGTGCATCCACAGCAGTAACCAGAGGAAGGAGGACTGGTGGGACGAGCACAGAGAGAATAAATGCCTCTGCAGCTGCACAGCCGGACGCCTCCATCTTCCCTAACTGCAACGAAACATCTCACCTGTATCGGTCTCTATAGCCACAGCAGGTGCCGTAATTCTTCAACTGTTTGACTTCATCACCAAAGGTGCAGTCCTCCATTGGCAGACGGATGCCAATCAAACCCTTGATTATTATTATTTTAAAAAAAACAACCACTCAAAGCAATTTAAAAAAAGAATAAAACAACGGAATTATCTGTTAAAAACAACTATTTTAAACATTCGAAAAACAATTAAATTCAACGATATGCTAAAACACAGACTAAAACACATTATCTGGATAGGCTTGCCTAAACAAAAAATGTTTTCGACAGCTGACGAAAAGGTTACAGGGACGGCAGCTGCCCGATGTCAATCAGCAGGGAGTTCCAACATGTGGGTGCTGCCATGGTAAAATACATTTTATTTTTTACAAATGTGGAATGACTATTATGTGGCACTTGCCACAGCGCCAGCTCCGCAGATCAAAGTGGTCAATGGTTATATATGGGGTAAGACGATCTCTCAGATAAACTCATCTCAACCTCAACCCAGCAGAGCAGGCACAGGGATCCTTTGCCCCAGGGGCCAAATCCAGCCCCTCAGAACTTTCCCTGGTCCAAACCTCTTCAGCCACACCCCTCAGCAGCCCTGCTTTGGGCAATTTCCTTATATTTAACATTTTGTTCTTTCTCAAGGCTGCTTTCCTCAAATCATGCTGGTTCTGGCCGGCTTCAAGATATAAATTTCAGCCAACCCCTTTCTTCAGCCTTCCCAGAGGAAAAGAACAGGCTTACCCACCCATGCATTTATTTAGGGGTGCCGTATTTCAAAAAGTGAAAATCTGAACACAAAAATTGTTGAGCTATTTTTTTTTTTTAAGTTTTGGCCAAAGTCGTTGAGCTCTGAAACTTCCTTTCTAAATATCATTCTAAAAATCAACACTTCCGGATTTTCCCGGACATGTCAGAGCTTTCCGCCCGGTCACCGTTGCCGGCGGCCAAATTCCGGACATATGTCAACCCTAATTTATTTCCATTACACTATACCATCTTGTAGCCATAAGAGGGCCTTCTCTGTGGCAGCCCCTAAATTGTGAAACTCCCCACAGAGACATAACTGGCACCTTCGTTTTCACAAACGCTGAAGATGCGCCTCTTACTGCTTCTGACGCTATAGATGTATATTTTTAGGACCCACCCTAAGTCGTTTTAAATTGTTTTTAATTTTGTGTTTTAGTTGTTGTTGGACCCGTGGGTAAAGGGCGAGCAGTCAGTTGCAATTGTCATTCTGACGGTAAGAAGGATATTTTTAAACTAGGTTGGGTGGTCAAGGATTCCTTCGCAGTTATTCCTATATTGTAAGAGGTTGTTCCTTCCAAAGCTACAGTTCTACTATCATCTAATGAAGGTAAACAGTAGAAAATCCAGGACGGGTAAGGAAGACCTTCTCCACACAGCACATAGCTAAACTACAGAATTCACTGCCACAAGATGTAGTACAATTAGACAAATGTGTCAAGGATAAGACTGCTAATGGCTACCATTCATGATGGATATATATTGCCTTCAGAATCAGAGGGCGTGCATCTGAATCCTCGTCACTCGGGAACAGAAGTGGGATAGTGTGTTGACCTCACACCCTGCTTATTACGTTTCCTACTGTTCTGACCCAGCAGGGATCATCTTAAGTCTTCCCACAAAGAACCTTTCAACACTCCATAAATGTTTTTAATGAGTTCTTCCTAGTACGAATTATTGGATGCCCAGAAAGGATTTCATGCGTGCTTAAGATTTTTCCACGCTTCACTTATAGGGTTCTCCGCTTTGTGGATTCTTCAATGTGCACAGGTGTGTGTGCATACGCAGAAGCTCTTCCCGCACCCCAAACATTTATATAGCTTCTCCCCAGTGTGAATTCTTTAATGGAAAGTGAGACGCATGCTTCTACTGAAACCCTTTCCACATGCCATGCATTAATATTTTGTCACGAGAGTGAGTCATTTGATGTTTAGTCAGGATTCCGCGTTGAATGAAGCTCCTTCCACATTCCAGGCATTTATACGGTTTCTCCCCTGTATGAGTTCTTTGATGGGTAGTCAGGATTCCACGCTGAATGAAGCTCTTTCCACACTCCAAGCACTGGTAGGGTTTCTCCCCTGTGTGAATTCGTTGATGAGAAGCAAGGCTTGATTTAACAGAAAATGTCATGCCACAGTCTGAACATTTATAGGGCTTCTCCCCCACATGATTTTTTTGATGAGAAGAGAGGTATGTGCTCCTACTGAAGCTCTTTCCACACTCCAAGCATTGATAGGGTTTCTCCCCTGTGTGAATTCTCTGATGAGAAGCAAGGTTTGGGCTTCGACTGAAACTCTTTCCACACTCCAAACAATTATATGGTTTCTCCCCTGTGTGAGTTGTTTGATGGGAAGAAAGTTCCGGACTTGAACGGAAACTCTTTCCACACTCCAAACATTTATATGGCTTCTCTCCTGTGTGAATTCTTTGATGAGAAGTGAGATTCACCTTTTGAATGAAACTCTTTCCACACTCCAAGCACTGGTAGGGTTTCTCTCCTGTGTGAATTCTTTGATGAGCAATGAGACCTGTTTTCCCACTGAAACTCTTTCCACACTCCAAGCATCCATATGGCTTCTCCCCTGTGTGAACTCTCTGATGACAAGTAAGGTTAGAACTGAAATGGAAGCTCTTCCCACACTCCAAGCATTGATATGGCCTGTCCCCTGTGTGGGTTCTCTGGTGAGAAGCAAGATTTACCTTTTGGCTGAAGCTCTTTCCACACTCGTAGCACTGATACGGTTTCTCTCCTGTGTGAGTTGTTTGATGGGCAATGAGGCCTGTTCTTACGCTGAAGCACTTTCCACATTGCAAGCACTGGTAGGGTTTCTCCCCTGTGTGAGTTGTTTGATGGGAAGAAAGTTCCGGACTTGAACGGAAGCTCTTTCCACACTCAAAGCATTTATATGGTCTGTCCCCTGTGTGGGTTCTCTGATGAGTATTGAGATTCACCTTCTGACTGAAGCTCTTTCCACACTCCAGGCATTTATATGGTCTCACGCCTGTGTGAATACTTCGATGAGCAATGAGGCCTGTTCTCCCGCTGAAGCACTTTCCACATTCCAGGCATCCATACGGCTTCTCCCCTGTGTGAACTCTTTGGTGGCAAGTAAGGTTGGAACTGAAATGGAAGCTCTTCCCACACTCCAAGCATTTGTACGGCCTGTCCCCTGTATGGGTTCTCTGATGAGAAGTGAGGTTTACCTTCTGACTGAAGCTCTTTCCACACTCGGTGCACTTAAATGGTTTCTCCCCTGTGTGAGTCGTCTGATGGGAGACGAGGGCTGTTCTGCCGCTGAAGCTCCTTCCACATTCCAAGCATTTATATGGTTTCTCCCCTTTGTGGGTTGTTCGATGGGAAGACAGTTCTGCATTCGAACCGAAAGTCTTTCCACGCTCCAGGCATCTGTCCTCCACATGGGTTCTTTGGTGGGAAGTGAGATTTGAATTCTCCGTGAAGCTCCTTCCATACTCCAAGCACTGATATGGTTCCTCCACCGAGTGGATCAAACAGAAACTCTCTCCACAGTCCAGGCATTTATATGGTTTCTCTTCTGTGTCAATACTTTGATGGGCCATGAGGCCTGTTGTCACGCTAAAGCCCTTTCCATACTCTAGGCTTACATATGGCTTCTCCTCCGTATGGGTTCTGAAATGGCAAGTCAGGTCGGAACTGAAATGGAAGCTCTTTCCACACTCCAAGCACTGATATGGTTTCTCCTCTGTTTCCCTCAGCATGGAAGGGCTGTTCTTTTCCTGTCTCTCATCCATGTCTTCCTGAGCTGCGATTTCGTGGCAGTCAGTGTCCTGAGAGGCAGAGGCTTTTCCCCTCATCTTCTGATTTGCTTCGGTTTTCCTTCTCTGCTGTTCCCTCTTCTCACATGTGTCTCTTTCCAGAGACATCCTGGGAGAGTCTCCCTTCTCCTCACTGTCCCATTCATCACCTGCTGGAACGGAGGAGGGAAATCAGTCAGAAATGAAGCCTCAAATCATAGAACGACTCAAACAGTTGTGATAAGGGCTGAAAAGACTTAAGAGGGAATGTTTTTGTATATGCTGGAAGCAGCCCAGAGTGGCTGAGGCAACCAAAACAGATGGGCGGGGTACCAATACAGTCATACCTTGGTTGTCGAACACCTTGGTACTTGTCTGTTTTGGTTCCTGAACGCCACAAACCCAGAAGTGAGGGTTCTGGTTTGCGAACGTTTTTTGGAAGCCAAATGTCCAACATGGCTTCCGCGACTTCTGATTGAGTGCAGGAAGCTCCTGCAGCCAATCAGAAGCCGCGCCTGGGTTTTTGACCGTTTTCGGAAGTCAAACAGATTCTGGAACGGATTCCGTTCAAGAACCAAGGTACGACCGTAATAAAATTATTACTATTATTAGCATCATCACCACCATTTTAGCACAGGGAGAGGAAGCCTGCTAGACTGACCCCAATGTAACTAAACTTATTAATACTGTTATTAACAAACAGTTTGTTAGATTTGTTTCCTGCCTTTCCTCCCAAAGGAGCCCAGAAAAGCAAACAGCAAAATGTTGAAACAAAATTAAAAAATTCCTTCCAGTAGCACCTTAGAGACCAACTAAGTTTGTTATTGGGATGAGCTTTCGTGTGCATGCACACTTCTTCAGATGTTAAAACAGCCCAATTTAAAAATTGAATTTTAAAAAGAAACGTATTTAAAGTGTTTAAAAACCATTCAAAACAGTCTTAAGAACATTTGGAAGATCTGACAACAATAACATACCCCCATAATTATTACTTTCGACCTGACAACAATAACATACCCCCAGAGTTATTACTTTCATGGTTGCTATGGCCAGTATCTCTCAGCCATCGAACTCCTGGGTAAACAGGAATGCTCTTAACTTTCTCCTGAAGATCAGTAACAGAGACAGCTGCGCCTCACTCAGGAGGGGGAGCCAGCACCGAGAAGCTCCTGCCAGAAATAACTGTGGACGGGGCAGCTCCATGGCCAAAGGTGAATGGAGGAGGGAGTTGTAATTGAGGAACGTTTAGTAGACCACAGCAGGTTGCCTATACCTTCCCTCAAAGCATCGTGAGGGCTGTAGTTTCTTAAGGGCTCTGAGAGTGGTTAATAATAATAATAATAATAATAGTATTATTTATACCCCGCCCATCTGGCTGGGATTACCCAGCCACTCTGGGCGGCTCCCAACAGAATATTAAAAACACGATAAAACATCAAACATTAAAAACTTCCCAATACAGGGCTGCCTTCAGATGTCTTCTAAAAGTCAGATAGTTGTTTATCTCCTTGACATCTGATGGGAGGGTGTTTCACAGGGCAGGTGCCACTACCGAGAAGGCCCACTGCCTGGTTCCCTGTAACTTGGCTTCTCGCAGTGAGGGAACCGCCAGAAGGCCCTCGGAGCTGGACCTCCGTGTCCGGGTAGAACAATGGAGGTGGAGATGTTCCTTCAGGTATACTGGACCGAGGCCGTTTAGGGCTTTCAAGGGCAGTACCAACACTTTGGATTGCGCTCAGAAACATACTGGGAGCCAATGTAGGTCTTTCAGGACCGGTGTCATATGGTCTTGATGGCTGCCCCCAGTCACCAGTCTAGCTGCTGCATTCAGGATTAGTTGTAGTTTCCAGGTCACCATCAAAGGTAGCCCCATGTAGAGTGCATTGCGGTAGTCCAAGCGGGAGATAACTAGAGCATGCACCACTCTGGCGAGACAGTCCACGGGCAGGTAGGGTCTCAGCCTGCGTCCCAGATGGAGCTGATAAACAGCTGCCCTGGACACAGAATTGACCTGCGCCTCCATGGACGGCTGTGAGTCCAAAATGACTATTCCACTCACAGAGCTACAATTCCCAGAGTCGTCTGGGAAGAAGGATTGACTCCTAAGCCACTCTGGGAACTATAGCACTGTGAAGGGAACAGGGGTCTCTCCTGACAACTCTCAGCACTCGTTTTTGTTCAGACAAGGTTTCCCTGCTGGAACACCTAGTTTCTCCACTGTGTGTGTGTGTGTTTCTAAATTTATCTGTGATTCTGTTCTGTGCTGTTTTTAAGCTGGGTTCTTTTTTCTTAAATATATATATATATATAATTCTGTACGTCCTCTAGAGACGTACATTTAATTAATGAGTTTTATATACTGTATTTTTCGCTCTATAGGACGCACTTTTTCCCTCCTAAAAACAAAGGGAAAATGTGTGTGTGTCCTATGGAGCGAATGCAGGGGGGAGGCAGGTGGGAAAAGCCCCCAAGAGCCGCACACAAGCTCCGTGCGGCTCTTGCGGGCTTTTCCCCAGGAGGGAGAAGGGACTAACTGGCCACATCAGTCCCTTCTCCCTCCTCGTAGAAAAGCCCACAGGAGCCGTGCGCTCCTTAAAGGATGCGTGGCTCCTGTGGGCTTTTGCGGGAGATGGGGGAATTCCCCCACCTCCCATAAAAACAGGGAGAAGGTCTGGGAGAAGCGCACAGGCTGCCTGCAGCCTGTCCGCTGCTCCCACAGCTGGGGGGGGGGAATCATATTTTTTCCCTTGATTTCCCCCTCTGAAAACTAGGTGCGCCCCATAGTCAGGTGCGCCCTATGGAGCGAAAAATACGGTACCCCTTGACTGTAAGAGAAAAAACCTCAAAGCATTTTACAAAAAGAATAAAACAATGGGAAAATGTGGTCAGCAACTGGGTGACAACCGAACATTAAATAAGAAATGATGCAGCTATGGGAGGAAATGATCAACATATGTTTGCAACACGAGCGGGAAACCTGATTTTAAGAAATCGTATTATATTAAAGTAATTTGGTTTGTAAAAATTTGGAAAACGAATAAAAAGAATTTTTTTAAAAAAGAAGAAAACAATGAACTTTTCAGCAAAAACCAGTTAAAAACAACTATTTTAGCCGCTCAAAGGAATTGAAAATCAACAGTGCTAAAAATGACTGTGGATAAATGAATAAGGCTTCCCTTGCAGGGAGTTGGAATACGTGATCCCTGGTCATTTTCGAGCTCTACAGTTCTATGTGCTGCAGAGATAATCAGCTAAAGAAAAAAGCTGTGTTTTACCCAGAGAGGCCAGAATCTCCCAGTTCTCCTCCATGACTTCCCTGTGCAGGGACCTTTGGTCCGGATCCAGAAGGGCCCATTCTTCCTCAGAGAAATTCACAGCCACCTCCTCGAAGGTCACCAAATCCTGGAAGAGAAGCAAACATGTCCTCCTCACCGATGACGGAACATTTATTTACCAGCAAAATCCCAAGTGCAGACGAGGTGGGTGGGTTTTAGCGCCGAGGATGGTTTGGGTTAATCCCCGTGCATGTGGTTTAAAATCCATTTAAACATTTTCATTCTATTAAATTGCATTTCAATGTGTGTTTTAAGATGCTTGCAACTGTTGATTAAACCGTTTTTAAAAAGCTATTTCATTTCATTACATGCACATGTTTGAGAGATACAGAAACGAACCACAGCGTGCCTGTTTTTCTTTATTATAATTTCCCCCCCTATTTTTCAAAAGTGTTTTGACATAAAAACACTCCAATGTTTCCCAACAAATATAAATATAAATATAAATATAAATATAAATATAAATATAAATATAAATATAAATATAAATAATATAAATAATATAAATATATAAAAATATAAATTGACTTCCCCCACTCCTTTTGCGGTTTCTTATATTTTTAAGATTTATAACACTGCACCTCCTTCGTTACTCCAATTAGTGTATTTTTTAACATTAATTTTAACTGTTTGGTTTAGGTTACAGCTTGCCTGTTTGACCCGCAACTTTAGAAAGAAAATGACGCACAACGGAGAAATGGTTATTGCAGAGAGATGAAATCAATGCTACGAATGATAAGGCTATGATTTCATGGAAGTGCAACTGAGCAGTCAAAAAGTTCTGGTATACAATCAAATCCAGATAAAACTATACTTTACAGGAGCCTGCCAGCTGTAAGTTTGTATTTGGACGTAATTCATGAATGGCTACCATGTAGCTGCATGGTCCATAGGTTTGTCTTTGGTTTTTAAAAACGATTCGGTTTTCTTTTTAATTGTATTATTTCATCCAGTGATTTTTTCCCCTGGGAAAATAGGTGGGGGAACTTACCACTAAATATGTTTGTTTGTTGCAGGCCCAGTCACAGTGCCCCTCTCCCAGGCAGTGGCTAAATGCAAGTTGTGATTAATAAACTCAAGCAGACAATGATCTGGATTTGAAATGGCTAAAACTTTATTGATGACAGATGGAGGGGGATTTTTGGCTGAGGCATTGTGGGTATATATCTGTTCCAGCCCCCTCAGACAAAAAAATAATTATTATTATTTAATTTTTAAAAGGTAAGGGAGTTCAGTTCCCCCCAGCTCCTGCTCCAAAAAACAAAAACAAAATTCCCTGATTTTTATCACAGACGCATTTGCAGCCCTGGGGTCCTTTTGAGGGGAGAATAGCACTTAATGGCTGTCAGGGATTATGGAAACCACCCATAATCTGTTGAGAATCTGCAAGCTGCCACAACAACCTGTTGTGCATTTTTCCAAGGCTTGCTGAAGTTTGCACAGCCAGAAACACTACACTGGGTCCAACACATTTTCCACGCAGCCTTGAAGTAAATTGAAGTGTCTGGAGGTGATTGGAGGATGGATGGCGGCTAACAGATTGAGGTTGAATCCTGACAAGACAGAAGTACTGTTTTGGGGGGACAGGTGGGTGTGGGGGACTCCCTGATCCTGAATGGGGTAACTGTGCCCCTGAAGGACCAGGTGCGCAGCCTGGGAGACATTTTGGACACAGCTGTCCATGGAGGCGCAGGTCAATTCTGTGTCCAGGGCAGCTGTCTACCAGCTCCATCTGGTACACAGGCTGAGACCCTACCTGCCCACAGACTATTTCGCCAGAGTCGTGCATGCTCTGGTTATCTCCTGCTTGGACTACTGCAATGTGCTCTATGTGGGGCTACCTTTGAAGGTGACCCGGAAAATACAACTAACCCAGAATGCGGCAGCTACACTGGTGACCGGGAGCGGCCGCTGGGATCATATAACACCAGTCCTGAAAGACCTACATTGGCTCCCAGTACGTTTCCAAGCACAATCCAAAGTGTTGGTGCTGACCTTTGAAGCCCTAAATGGCCTTGGCCCAGTGTACCCGAAGGAGTGTCTCCACCCCCATCGTCCAGTCCAGACACTGAGGTCCAGCTCTGAGGGCCTTCTGCCAGCTCCCTCCCTGTGAGAAGTGAGGTTACAGGGAACCAGGCAGAGGACCTTCTCTGTAGTGGCACCCGCCCTGTGAAACACCCTCCCATCAGATGTCAAGGAGATAAAGAACTATCTGACTTTTAGAAGACATCTGAAAGCAGCCCTGTATCAGGAAGTTTTTTATGTTTGATGTTTTATTGTGTTTTTAATATTTTGTTGATAGCCGCCCGGAGTGGCTGGGGAATCCCAGGCAGATGGGTGGGGTATAAATAATAAATTATTATTATTATTATTAGGAATTCCAGGTGCCAGCACACCAATAAATCACAGCAACACAATCTGGTATAGATAGAACTTTTTTTTTACTACTGGCTTTAAAAGCTTAACAATTCCAAAAACTATTTACCTGCTTCTCCAATAGAGGCAAACTTCTTTCTAAGTCTTTTTAAGGTCTTGCCATAGTTGGCTGCAAGACACACCCCGCCCTCAAAGGACTACAGTGGTGCCTCGCAAGACGAAAAGAATCCGTTCTGGGAGTCTCTTCGTCTAGCGGTTTTTTCGTCTTGCGAAGCAAGCCCATTGACGGATTAGCGGATTAGCACTATTAGCGCTTTTAGCGGCTTTTAGCAGCTTATCAGCTTATCGGATAAGCAGATAAGCGGCTTAGCGACTTAGAAAAAGAGGGGGAAAAGGAAAAAAAAAACCCAGGAACTCGCAAGACATTTTCGCCTTGCGAAGCAAGCCCATAGCAGATCTGCTTTTATGAGGCACCTCCAAAACGGAAAACTCTTTCGTCTAGCGAGTTTTCCGTCTTGCGAGGCATTCGTCTTGCGGGGCACCACTGTACATCCTTTCATTTTGAGGTTTATGTTCAGACTAAACGGACTCTTACTCAGTTCCAGAAACTGAGCATGTATTGAGTGTTGAGCTTGCGGATGTAAAAACAAAACTAAACCAAACGAAACCAGCAAGAAAGCAGCTTCTGGAAATTGCATGATGTCTGGCAAACGAATGTCTCACCCCGACAATGGCATCCATAACAGGCTTGGTGGGCAGATGCTAGGGGAATGAGACATATCCAGAAAAGTGAGCCCCTCTCCATCTCCCCAGTGATCCTTCTCCTTACCAGATCCTTTTCCATCGCAGCTCCATCCCTTCCACCACCAGGGAGAGATGACCCGCTACATGTTGCTGGCATCATTCCCTCTCCTGCAAGAGACAAATAATAATTTAATAATAATTTATTATTTATACCCCACCCATCTGGCTGGGTTTCCCCAGCCACTCTGGGCGGTTTCCAACAGAATATTAAAATACAGTAACCTATTAATCATTAAAAGCTTCCCTAAACAGAACTGCCTTCAGATGTCTTGTAGTTGTTTATCTCTTTGAAATCTGGTGGGAGGGCGTTCCACAGGGCGGGTGCCACCACCGAGAAGGCCCTCTGCCTGGTTCCCTGTAACTTGGCTTCTTGCAGTGAGGGAACCGCCAGAAGGCCCTCGGAGCTGGACCTCAGCGTCTGGGCAGAACGATGGGGGTGGAGACGCTCCTTCAGGTATACTGGACTGAGGCCACTTAGGGCTTTAAAGGTCAGCACCAACACTTTTCAGGGGCAAGAAGTCTGTTTCGGGTTGCCTTGCCTCCCAGGTTGCGCCATGAACCACTTAACGGATTTGCCCCCACATCCTGTCGTTGCAGGAAGTTCGTACGGGGATCGAACCTGCAACCTCGGCGTTGACAGCACCGCGCTCTAACCAACCGAGCTATCCAAGCGCAATGGATGTGGAGTAAGTAAAAAACACGAGCATACCCAAGGATGAAGCGTTATCATAGCGATCCAGGGATGGGGAATCTCTGGCCCAGCTGCTGCTGCTAGACTCCAACTGCCAGCATCCCTCAGTAGTGGCCTGGCGTCAGGTGGCAGAGGAACCAACCCCCACGGCAGGTTGCCAGGAATGGATAAAACGAGGAAAAGTCCTTGCCATCTGCTTTTTATTCAACATCCACAGAGAGAGGCTTGGGAATGCAGCCTTGTGGAATAATGGTGTTGCCCCAGGCGAATCTCCACCCTCTCTGTCTCTCCCATTTCCTCATGGGTCATCGCTACGGGTGCTGCAACTCTTTGCTCTCCTACTATATATATATATAACATATCAGTTCCAACAGTCATATAACATATCTTCACTTCTTACATGATATTTTTTACTTCCGTCAACACCTCTGATGATTTTCTGTTCTTTATCACTTATTCTGCATTTCTTAATTTCCTATTACATTTAATTGTCCTTAACTAATAATTCTTTTCATAGTCTTTCTTGCAATTTTTCAAATAATCCACCTAACAAAACTTCTTGCAGTCCTACTAGCGTAGTCTGTTCATCACAATTACTTTTCAGATAAGGCGGTACCTCTGGTTACATACTTAATTCGTTCCGGAGGTCCGTTCTTAACCTGAAACTGTTCTTAACCTGAAGCACCACTTAAGCTAATGGGGCCTCCTGCCGCCGCCGCACGATTTCTGTTCTCATCCCGAAGGAAAGTTCTTAACCCGAGGTACTATTTCTGGGTTAGCAGAGTCTGTAACCTGAAGCGTATGTAACCTGAAGCGTCTGTAACCTGAGGTACCACTGTGTGTGTGTGTGTATAATGTTACGGATTCACTGACATGGGAAGGGTTTTGTGTGAGCATTTTGCTCTGGCCTGGGTGGAAAGAGGGAGGGGACGTCACTGCTGGCTGACACCAGCTGTTCTTAACCTCGCTTGCGCCTACAAGCATTCATTAAATTCCTTCCTCTCTTTTTTTGCAATTGCAATGAATACCACTCTGCCCCCCTACCCCTCCATCGTAATACAGTGGTACCTCGGGTTAAGAACTTAATTCGTTCCGGAGGTCCGTTCTTAACCTGAAACTGTTCTTAACCTGAAGAACCACTTTAGCTAATGGGGCCTCCTGCTGTCACCACGTGATTTCTGTTCTCATCCTGAAGGAAAGTTCTTAACCTGAGGTACTATTTCTGGATTAGCGGAGTCTGTAATCTGAAGCGTATGTAACCTGAAGCGTCTGTAACCTGAAGCGTATGCAACCCGAGGTACCACTGTACAGTCATACCTCAGGTTGAAGTAGCTTCAGGATGAGTATTTCGGGTTACGCTCCGTGGTGACCCGGAAGTAAGGGAGCGCGTTACTTCTGGGTTTTGCTGATCGTGCATGCACAGACGGTCAAAATGACGTCACGCGCATGTGCGGAAGCGGCAAATTGCGACCCACGCACACGCAGATGCGGGTTGCGTTTGCTTCAGGATGCGAACAGGGCTCCAGAACAGATCCTGTTCGCATCCAGAGGTATCACTGTAGTTCATATATTTACTCCAGTCGTCTAAGAATCTCTGATCCTGCAGGTTTCGAATCCTTCCTGTTACAGTGGTATCTCGGGTTACATACGCTTCAGGTTACATACGCTTCAGGTTACAGACTCCGCTAACCCAGAAATAGTGTTTCAGGTTAAGAACTTTGCTTCAGGATGAGAACAGATATTGTGCTCTGGCGGCACAGCAGCAGCAGGAGGCCCCATTAGCTAAAGTGGTGCTTCAGGTTAAGAAAAGTTTCAGGTTAAGAACGGACCTCCGGAACGAATTAAGTACTTAACCCGAGGTACCACTGTAATTTATCTAGTTCTGCATAGTCCATTGCACTCCTACTTTCAAGGCCCGCCAGGTTCCGAGAGAGGGGGTCTGGAATGCTTTCTAAAGACACTGAGTCCGTCAGCAATCGCCCCCCAAGGTGCTTCTTCTTCTCCTCTTCCTCCGAGCTGTGACCTCCCTCAAATCCCTCTTGTGATTCTGAACTCCTCCTCCTCCTCTGCCCAGTCCCTGACACCTGTCAGTCAGAGGCTGATGGGAGGTGGGGTCCAGCGACATTTGGGAGGCCACAGTTTCCCCACCCATGCAGAGATCCTTACCAAGCAAGGTGGCCCCTCTGTCACGCTCTGGGGCGATCCCGCGTTGTGGGGGGCTCTGCCTCGTCCCCGGAAGAGCTTCCTCCGAGTCAGAAAATCTGGCGCTCGCTTCTGCAAGCAGGCCTTTCTCCTGGAGCAGAGATGGGAGTGGAAAGCATTAGGAAAAGGATGGCAGAGGCAAAGGTGCGTCAGAAGAATTAGACCAAAATAGCCTATCCAGTTCCAGCATTCGGTTGTCCAGGCTGGCTAACTAGAAGCCTTCAGGAACATAAGCTAAGGGCCCATCTAGTCCAGCGTCCTGTTCTCACAGTGGCCAACCAGGTGCCCGTGGGAAACCCAAATGCACGATTCGAGCTCTTGTGTGCGGTTTCCAGCGACTGACATTCAGAAGAGTTACTGCCTCCTTCCATGGAGCTTTTTGAATTCTGGTGCTGGAGGAGACTCTTGAGAGTCCCATGGACTGCAAGAAGATCAAACCTCTCCATTCTGAAGGAAATCAGCCCTGAGTGCTCACTGGAAGGACAGGTCCTGAAGCTGAGGCTCCAATACTTTGGCCACCTCATGAGAAGAGAAGACTCCCTGGAAAAGACCCTGATGTTCAGATAGATGGAGGGCAGAAGGAGAAGGGGACGACAGAGGACGAGATGGTGGGACAGTGTTCTCGAAGCAACAAACATGAGTCTGACCAAACTGCGGGAGGCAGTGGAAGACAGGAGTGCCTGGCGTGCTTTGGTCCATGGGGTCACAAAGAGTTGGACATGACTAAACGACTAAACAACAACAACAAGCCATGGAGCCACAGCATAGCCATCCTGGCTAGTAGCTGTGAATAGGCCTCTCCTTCATGAACTTGCCAGTTCTCTTTTGAAGCCATCCAAGATGGCGGCCATCACTGCCTCCGGTGGCAAGGAGTTCCATAGTTTACACTGACATACCTAGGTATATCAGTGTATTTAAATCTGAATTGTCAAATTGTGTTATTGTTATTATGGTTTTTGTTGCAGTGTCTTTTGCGGTTGTTGTTTGTATCAAAAAAAGATTAAATAATTTTTTTTAAAAAAGGAGTTCCATGGTTTAAAGTATGTGCTGCATGAAGAATTACTTTCTGTCCTGAATTCAGCTTGGATATCTCAAAGTTACCATGTTATGAGAGAGGGATGGGGGGGGCGGGGAAACTATTCACGTTCTCGTACTATGACTCATTTTATAAACTTCTATCAGGTCATCTCTTTACGCCTTTTAGATAGTTTTAGGAAATCCTCCTTCACCTTCACTGCCTTTGGTTTGTTTTGGTTCTAATTCTGACTACCGTATGTATTTTGTGTTTCTTATATCGTCAATATAATTTTCATTAACAATTTCTGTTTTACGTTTTAGAATGTTCATTTAGACAACCTTAAAATATCAGTGACTTCCCTTCTACTCTTGCATGGTTCATTTTGCATATCATAAATACCTACATATTATACATAAACTAAACCATTCCATTATTACATCCATCAATACTTATTTACACTGCTGAATTTATCTTAATGCTGCCAACATTTTCAAGTGTACACAGTTCCCCCCCATATATTCAATAAACATTTCCCAATCTTTTCTAAACTTATGTTCTTCTTGTTCTCTTATTCTATATGTTAAATCTGCAAGCTGCACATATTCCATTGATTTAAGTTGCCATTCTTCTTTAGTTGGGACCTCACCCGTTTTCCATTTTGAAGCTAACAAAACACTGTGTTTCTTATGTTGTCATTTTATGTTGTGAACCGTGCTGAGATCTATAGATGAAGGAATAAAAATGTTCTCACCTGCTGCTCTTCCTGCTTCCTGGCCTCTGCCCGGCTCAGGAGGAAACCTTTGACCAGGGCCACCGCCTGGGAGCTGGTCTCTGCTCCACATTCCCTGACCCAGTTCTCCATCTCCAGAGGGAGGACAGCCAAGAACTGCTCCAGGACCACCAGGTCCAGGATCTGAGCCTTGGTGTGTCTCTCCGGCTTCAGCCACTGACGACAAAGATGGTGGAGCCGGCTGCAAACCTCTTGAGGCTCCTCAGCTTCCTGGTAGCGGAACTGCCTGAAATGCCAGCGCTGGACATCTAAGCTGAGCGTCTCTTCCTCTCCCAGGATGCTCTCCACAGTTCTTTTCCAGAATTCCCCACTGCTCCCAGGCTCGGGGTCTCTTCCTCCTTCAAGGCCAGCTGGGTTTTTCTCATCCATTGGGAAAACCTCCCACCGATTTCCGTCTAGAGGCAGAGAGGGGAGCAATTGGAGCAGACCACCAAATCCTGCCAAGTGTGACATTGTCCCGTTAGCAAATGGGGGGAGAAGGGGCTGGGGGAACGCACGCCGGAAGTGGGAGGGGCTGGAACACGTGGTAGGAGGTGCCAGAGCCCAATGTGGGTGGGGCAAGAACCAGGCCCCGCCTCCCACATGCTATTTATCCCACACAATTCCTTTGCCACTCACTCACTCACTGGGTGCGACCTTGGGCCAGCAGCTGCTTCTCAGCCTAACAGGGCTGTTGTGGGGATTAAATCAGGAGGGGGAGAACCATCTACTGCATCTTGTAGCAGTGAGATATCTAGCTGTCTGATGGCATAGTGCAGGAATCAGTTGCAGCGCAGGAATGATTTTTCTTTTCTTTTTTTGAGGTGTGGTGGAGGTAGGTCACAGCCTGTAAGTAGGTTAACCTTCCCCTCCTTAAAATAATCCTGCTATGCTGCAGATAGGCTTCCGGAGGGCAAGGAAAATGCTGCAATGGGAGCTTTTTTACCCTCTTCCCGAATCTCCTGGCAGATGGACCTAAGACTAGCCTTGCATCAGTAAGCACCAGCGCCACTCTTTTTCTTCCTTGTTTTGATTCTTTGTGGTGTCCCCCCCCATTCCTCCCTATGCACCCCAGACTAGACAACATGGGCATAGGATGCCCATAATAATAATAATAAATTTTTATTTATATCCCGCCCTCCTCAGCCGAAGCCGGGCTCAGGGCGGCTAACAACAATAAAATAATACAACATTCTAAAATCATTTCATTATAAAATTAATTCAAATCAAATTGATGGCAACCATTGGGCTAGAGTTCTGTGAAGATTGCCAAAGGAGGGAGTCAGGCTGTGCCCTGGCCAAAGGCCTGGTGGAACAGCTCTGTCTTGCAGGCCCTGCGGAAAGATGTCAAGTCCTGCAGGGCCCTAGTCTCTTGTGGCAGAGCGTTCCACCAGATCGGAGCCACAGCCGAAAAAGCCCTGGCTCTGGTTGAGGCCAGCCTTAACCTCCCTGTGGCCTGGGACCTCCAAGATGTTTTTGTTTGAAGATCGTAAATTCCTCTGTGGGACATACCAGGAGAGGCGGTCCCGTAGGTACGAGGATCCTAGGCCGTATAGGGCTTTAAAAGTTTAAACCAGCACCTTAAACCTGATCCTGTACTCCACCGGGAGCCAGTGCAGCTGGTATAGCACCGGGTGAATGTGATCTCGCAGCGAAGACCCCATAAGGAGTCTCGCTGCGGCATTCTGCACCCGCTGGAGTTTCTGGGTCAGTCTCAAGGGCAGCCCCACGTAGAGCAAGTTACAATAATCCAGTCTGGAGGTGACCGTCGCGTGGATCACAGTGGCTAGGTCAGGGCGAGAGAGATAAGGAGCCAACTGCTTAGATTGGCGGAGATGAAAAAATGCCGCCTTTGTTATAGCTGCAATCTGCGCCTCCATGGAGAGGGAGGTATCGAAGATTACACCCAAACTCTTAACGGACGGTGCTGGCACTAATTGCGCCCCCGCAAGAGATGGGAGTTGCCCCCCCCCAATCCCATATCGTCCCGACCCAGCCAAAGGACCTCTGTCTTCGAAGGGTTTAACTTCAACCGGCTCCCACGAAAAAAATTATTCTCTGCTGGAATGCCATCCTATCAGAGATGCCCAGGGAGGATAAAATTTTCCTCTTGGGTGGTTATGTGGATGCTGTGTGTGTCCTGCTTGAGCTCAGTCTTCTTCTTCTTCTTTATTTCTTATACCCCGCCCAACTGACTGAGTTGCCCCCAGCTGTTCTGGGTGGCTTCCAAAGAAAATATAGAGGGAAAGAAAGAAAGACACATAGATTTCCGAAACAGGGTTGCCTTCCATTTCCCCATGGGGTGCAATGAGGGAAGGGGCAGATATAGGATCCTGCACCCGTTATGGTGGCTTTTCCCCTCCAGCCTGCGGCCGGTGCAGGGATCTGGGCATCTTCCCCAGCCAGAGGCGCCCTGGCCCCTAAGGCCAGCTTTGCACCCCGGGGCTCCCCTTCCTGCAGAGGCACGCAAGAGGCGCGGGGACTCACCAGCTCCAGGCGGGGCCGCCGACGCAGCGCTCCGGGGAGAGGCAGAAGGTCGCTTTTCTCCTCCGCCAGGCAGGGGAATAAAGACTTTGGGGGTGAGGGGGGGAGGCATCGGCTCCGGAGAGATGGGAGACTACAGCTCCCATCATGCCCGGCAACTGGCTCAGCGGGCTGAGGATGATGGGAGTTGTAGTCCAATCGACCTCTGACTGGACCTAGGCTGGAGAACAACTGCGGAAGGACCCCGCCTCCGCCACTTCCGGTCCTCCCGCCTCAAATCCCTGTCCTGTCTAGGATTCAGATTCACTTGGTTTTAACCCCTGGGAGGCCAGGGAGAGGCGCATCATCTTTCTCTCTCCGCCCCCCCCCCAGCATCTCTCAAAGCAGCATCAAAAGAGGGACGCGCAGAACTGTCATCCTCTTCCACCTGATTTCTCCTTTCCTATTTGTTTAATTAAAAATACATACATAGGTCACTTCCCAGCAATGAAGTGCTAGCGTATGCAATACCAACCAACCAATCTTTATTACAGCAAACAGCGAGCATGGGGGGGGGGCGGCGCAACAGATGAATAAAACAGACAAACACAAGAATGTTGTATTGTGCTTTTATTTTTTGTTGTGAGCTACCAAAAGTGGCTGGGGCAACCTAGTCAGATGGGCGGCAATTATTATTATTATTATTATTATTATTATTATTATTATTTTATTTAGAAGCGATACAACAAACAAAGCAAACCTTTAAAAAAGGAGGAAGAAACAGTTTCATCTGATCTTCTTCCTGCATCGCAGGGGGTTGGGCTAGATGACCCTTGGAATCCCTTCCAACTCTGCAAAACTATGATTCTTAAAAATAAAAATAATTTATTACTTATACCCTGCCCATCTGGCTGGCCCTCCCCAGCCACTCTGGGTGGCTTCCAACAGAATATTTTTTATAAAAAAAACTACAAGAAAACATCAAACATTAGAAACTTCCATAAACAGGGCTGCCTTCAGATGTCTTCTAAAAGTCAAGATGGTTGTTTATCTCTTTGACATCTGATGGGAGGGTGTTCCACAGGGAAGGCGCCACTACCGAGAAGGCCCTGTGCCTGGTTCCCTGTAACTTGGCTTCTCGCAGTGAGGGATCCGCCAGAAGGCATGTTCCTATGCTCTCTTCAAGATAAACCTCTAGGGGAGTCTGCTGTTTCTTCGCTGTTGCAACCTTCTGCTCAGATGCTGCAACTGTTTGAGGCCTTTTGACCTTTTGTGGTTTTATGAAAAAGCAACATTTTCATTCCTTCCACTAGCTGACCACCTTCTGCCACCTCTTCCTCCAACCACAGTCCTCAAAAACACATATTCAATTCAAGTTTTTTGCTGTGTGCAGAGGCCTCCTTTGCATCTTATCTGATAGTTGTTTTTCACTCTAGCATGCAGTTTTGTTGTTGTTTAGTCGTTTAGTCGTGTCTGACTCTTCATGACCCCATGGACCAGAGCACGCCAGGCACTTCTGTCTTCCACCGCCTCCCGCAGTTTGGTCAAACTCATGCTGGTAGCTTCAATAGGTTTGATCTTCTTGCAGTCCATGGGACTCTCAAGAGTCTCCTCCAGCACCATAATTCAAAAGCATCCATTCTTCGGCGATCAGCCTTCTTTATGTTCCAGCTCTCACTTCCATACATCACTACTAGGAAAACCATAGCTTTAACTATATGGACCTTTGTTGGCAAGGTGATATCTCTGCTTTTTAAGATGCTGTCTAGGTTTGTCATTGCTTTTCTCCCAAGAAGCAGGTGTCTTTTAATTTTGTGACTGCTGTCACCATCTGCAGTGATCATGGAGCCCAAGAAAGTAAAATCTCTCACTTCTTCCCCTTCTATTTGCCAGGAGGTGATGGGACCAGTGGCCATGATCTTCGTTTTTTTGATGTTGAGCTTCAAGACCATATTTTGCGCTCTCCTCTTTCACCCTCATTAAAAGGTTATTTAATTCCTCCTCACTTTCTGCTATCAAGGTTGTGTCATCTGAGGTTGTTGATATTTCTTTCGGCAATCTTAATTCCGGCTTGGGATTCATCCAGCCCAGCCTTTCACATGATGAATTCTGCATATAAGTTAAATAAGCAGGGGGACAATATACAGCCTTGTCATAAAACTGGTCCCTACTAGTTTGGAGTCAGACTGTACTTTGCACACGTGAAGCTGGCCTTCCTGAGAGTGGGTTTTGCATAATTTCTACCTCAGTGGTCAGTACCCACTGGGGTTGGTAGGGCAGAAGGCAGGTGTCATGCAATGGTTGGAGAACCCGAAAGAAAAGAAGGGTCTATGCCCAGGGAATCGTAGTGAGACAACAAAGAGAGGGCAGAGGGAGAAGACAGGGGGAAGGAAGAGACTGGGAAGCTGAAGAGGTAACAGGGCGTAGTGAGCAGGGAGAGTCTGTGTCAGAAAGAAATGCAGGAGCAGGCGAGAAGCAGGGCTGGAAAACCACATAAAGCCCCTGGAACTGAGTTTCCAATCCCCTGCTCTTGAAGCTTGTCCTATACAGTGATTGGAGGATGGAGGGCGGCTAACAGATTGAGGTTGACTCCTGACAAGACAGAAGTACTGTTTCTGGGGGACAGGAGGCGGGCAGGTGTGGAGGATTCCCTGGTCCTGAATGGGGTAACTGTGCCCCTGAAGGACCAGGTGCGCAGCCTGGGAGTCATTTTGGACTCACAGCTGTCCATGGAGGCGCAGGTCAGTTCTGTGTCCAGGGCAGCTGTCTACCAGCTCCATCTGGTACGCAGGATGAGACCGTACCTGCCCGTGGACTGTCTTGCCAGAGTGGCGCATGCTCTGGTTATCTCCTGCTTGGACTACTGCAATATGCTCTACGTGGGGCTACCTTTGAAGGTGACCCGGAAACTACAACTAATCCAGAATGCGGCAAACAGACTGGTGCCTGGGAGGGGCCACAGAGACTATATGACACCGGTCCTGAAAGACCTGCATTGGCTCCCAGTGTGTTTCCGAGCACAATTCAAAGTGTTGGTGCTGACCTTTAAAGCCCTAAACGGCCTCGGTCCTGTGTACCTGAAGGAGTGTCTCCATCCCCATCCTTAAGCCCAGACACTGAGGTCCAGCTCCGAGGGCCTTCTGGTGGTTCCCTCCCTGTGAGAAGTGAGGTTACAGGGAACCAGCCAGAGGGCCTTCTCGGTAGTGGCACCCGCCCTGTGGAACACCCTCCCACCAGATGTCAAAGAGATAAACAACTACCTGACATTCAGAAGACATCTGAAGGCAGCCCTGTTCAGGGAAGTTTTTAATGTGTGACATTTTAGTATACCGTATTTTTTGCACCATAACACTCACTTTTTTCCTCCTAGAAAGTAAGGGGAAATGTCTGTGCGTGTTATGGAGCGAATGCCTATGGATGGCAGGGGGATTTGCTGCAGTCGTGAGCAGAGGATCCATGGTTCCCCTTCCTTCCCTCCTCCGTGGCTCGCTTTGAAACAGCAAAGTGAGAGAAGAGCCGCTGAGTAGGGAGGAGAGAGGGACAGAGAGCCTGCTTGCTTTAAAGGAGCAAAGTGGGAGAGGAGAGGAGCCTTCTCCTCTTATACCCCTCTTCTGCGTTTTTAACAGCATCCTTCTCCACCCACCCCACGCGTGTTCCTTGTCCCTTGGGTGCTTTTCCTTCCCTCCCCACTAAAAACGTGGTTACAATGCATGGATCCACATGGATCCTCAGGATTTTTGCATTGGGCTACCCCAAACTCACCGTCAGATCACATGTCTGTGGCCACAGCATGAACCACAAAAATCATACATCCACTGTTTCGTTTAGAATATATTTTTTTCTTGTTTTCCTCCTCTAAAAACTATGTGCGTGTTATGGTCTGGTGCGTGTTATAGAGCGAAAAATACGGTATTTTTGGTCTTTGTTGGAAGCTGCCCAAAGTGGCTGGGGAGGCCCAGCCAGATGGGCGGGGTACAAATAATAAATATTATATTATATTATATTATATTATATTTTATATTATATTATATTATATTATATTATATTATATTATATTATATTATATTATATTATATTATATTATATTATATTATTATATTATATTATATTATATTATATTATAATATTACATTATATATAATCATTTTAACCTTTAGGAGTGTGTGGGAGACGATCCATTGTAGGCCAGAGCTGTGCGTATAATAATAATAATATATTATTACAGCGGCAAGATTGCTACAGGAACAAAGGTGGAAAGTCTACAGCCCTAAGCGCTACAGAAGAATGGCCAATAAAACTAATGGATTTGGCTGAGATGCCGATGTGAACACATTTAATTAGAGAAAAATCATTACTGCGCAAATAAGGAATAGGGAATTTCTTATGGGCTTTTGGCATGAAAGAGAAAACAATCTTGTAATATCAGGATTTGAAGGTTGAAAAAATACTGGTTTATAGATGACAGAATGGTTGGATCTTAAGGCATGAATACCACATGTAGCTGCAGGACAGAGAACTGGAAGTCCTTGTATTTATTTATTTGTTTTGTTTTTCCTTTCTTTTCTTTTTCTCTCGCTTTCTCTTTTTCTTAGTGTTCTCCTTTCCATGTCTTCCTTCTGACTTTTAGACCTTCATTCTCTTCTAGACCAGGCCGCTGTTTCATTTCAGTATATAAGGTGCTTTAAAATAGGTATGCGTTTTTGTACATCTTTGTATATAATTTTTATTAAATTTTCTGTTTTACACTTTAAAATACTCATTTTTACATCCTTAAGATATCAAGGACTTCCCTTTTTCTCTTTCCATGGTTCATTTTACATATCATAAATCCCTGCATGTTTCGCAGAAACGATACCATTCAGTATTCCATTATTGCATCCATCAATACTTATTTACACCGTTGAATTTATCTTAACCTTGCCAGCGTTTTCAGCTGTACACAGTTATTCCCCATATATTCAATAAACGTTTTCCAATCTTCTCTAAACATATGTTCATCTTGTTGTCTTATTCTATATGTTAAGTCTGCAAGCTGTGCATATTCTGTCTGCTTAAGTTGTCACTCTTATTTAGTTGGGACCTCGCTAGTTTTGCCTTTTTTGGTACATCTTTGAATAAGCATCAATCAATCAATCAATCAATCAATCAGACCAGAGCTGCGCAATTAGAACTGATTTTCCCTCCTTGGCTCAGAGAGGCATAGAGCGAGGGAAGCGATCCTGCCTTCTAAGGGTTAAAGTGAACTGACTCTGGTTCCTAGAGAGGAT